CCTAATAGGAATAATAACTATTGTGTTGCTATGACAATTTAATTTATTGGTGCAATGGGCCGAACTTGACATCTTTGCTAGATGATTAAGTCATGTTGCCATAACAACGTAAGGGATTATTGACTACATTTATGATCATAACGCCAAACAATTGACAGCATTCTGTATCATTTTGTTTTGCTATTTTCATTGTTACTGTTTCATTGTATAGAAGTCCTATAATAGTAGTAGTAATAGTAGTAGGCCTGGTAGTAGTAGTGGTAGTAGTATAGTAGTAGTAGTGATAGTAGCGATAGTATTCAAGATGAATCATTTTGAAGATAATAGATTTCGCTTTATGCTTTTGTGTGGCTTTTGTGTATATTTTTAGTTGTAGTTTTAGGGTGTATATTTTTTTAAAATATATTCTGGTGGTATTTGTATTAAAGCTTATCTGCCGTAGTTTACATGAGGGATTAGACCGCTCTGCAAGGTCACTGGACAGGTGGTTATCTCATCAACTCAGCTCTCAGTTAACATAAGAAAAAGAGGATCATGGGGGACCAATGGTCACCAATTATGCATTGTTTGTTATATAGAGGGCGCAAGTAGCTACCAGTAGTGCAGTGGGCCTTTAAGTGTAGGTAATCGCCTGGCTGGGAGATGGTGACCTGTGAATGATGAGCCTACGGGGCCCTTGATCCTTAAATTGTAGGAGAACGGCACGCCCAGTCAGGTGTAGATTTTTCTCTCTTCTTTTCTTTTCTTCTCTTGTAGGGCCTAGCCTAGGTTTCCCTCAATTCCATAATATAACAACCATGTATACATATATAATGTATTTGGGTATTCTTACCTAGATTTAACTTTAAGATATTTGATATCTTTTGTTATTTGTTTTTCGAAATTAATTCTCTCTTTGTTATTAAGCATTCGCTATAAGCTGCTTTTTGTCTTACTGTATAGTTTCCATCACGCTCATTTACAGAATAACAGTAATATTATTACGAACAGTGGCGGGGAAAGGGGGCACATCCCCCCCCCCCCCTGAATAGAATGAAAACTCCAAAATGTGGGTCTATTTTTCCTTGTATGTACTTCATAATATCACGTCAAATGACGAGACCACAACCGAATAGGAATGAAGACCGTTATGTTCCTGTGACAACTTAATTTATTGGTGCGATGGGACGGAATTTCCGTCCTGATGCAAAAATCCTTGCAAGATAACTAAGTCATGTTGCCATAACAACGTATATGATTATTACAATTATGTGTGATGCGGTGTTCTTTGATTTAAGGTTATAAATACAGAGGTATGTTTAACCTTTTTTCTGCTGTCAGAAGAAATCATGTTTGGCTTTTTTTCTGCTGAGAGCAGAAAGCATGTTTTTCTAAAACTTTTTTAGATTTGTATGTTTATTCATTTTCTTTTATTTTAATTTAAGTTGTTTATTTGTTTATAATGATATAACAATCACATTTTGATAATCCTCCATCACGGTGATATAGAACTGATGATATAAACACTTTAAATAAAATTGCTTGAGAGTTCACTTCATCACTATGACCGGGTCCAATTGAAACCGGTCATAGTGAAGAAGTGAACTCTCAAGAATTTTCATTTCAATTGTTTAAAAAGAACCATTATAGGCCTATATATAAATATGTATGTGTATGTTTTTGTGAGCGTGTGTGTATTTGTTTGTGTGAATGTGTGTAAGCTTGTTAAAGTGTAACTCAATTTTGCGGCCTTGTTAACTTATTTAGTATATTTTTCTTGAGTTGAGAATGTTAGCAGACATCCACTGAGTGTGTGTGTGTGTGTGTGGGGGGGGGGGTGTTGTTTTAGGGAGGGGGGCAGGGAGGAGCAGGAATTGTACCGGTAAAATAACCTCTAGATTTGTTTTTTTTATAAGTGAATAATATTTACAATTGACATATAAATTATGTTTAGGTACTTGTAAGTTTTCTTTGTTGCTAAGTTATATACTTAAAATGAGTTTCTGTTTAAGTATGTTTATGTATAAGCAATCATTATTGAAAACGTAAATTTATTCAATTGTATGTTTTTGTTTGTATTACACACTTGAAGGAATAAAACAAAATTACTATTAAACAATTTTGTTTTAAAGTGTATAAGAAAGGTGCATTGTGTATACAAAAAAGTATGAGAAAACCCAACCATTACTTTCACATTTCCTTCCGTATTGTATATATGTTATGTCGGTGTATTTTGCAGTTTCCAAGCTAGGAACTTGTTTTGACCCATGTAGCCTAGCAATGCGTACACGTTTTTTTTTTTTTTTTACTTGGTACATTAAATTATTCTAATATTTTCTCAGCCATCCAATATACATATTCTCTATAATGATATGGGGCTACATTCTGTTAAGTGAGTGATGATGATTAAAAGTAGCCATCTTGAAAGTTACACCATTGAACTGAAACGAGGCCGTATGAATAGTTATGATTCATACCTCATAACAAATAGGTTTCTTTTTAAACTTGTGAAGTAGATATTCCCTAGGTCCTTGAATGCATTAAGTTGTTCAGCACCAAATGATACTTAAGACTAGATAATGATGATTCAAACCCCGCTCCAGACAAATCTTGGTTATAAATGAATAATGGAGCACATGTAGAACATGACCCACAACCCCCAGTCCCCAAACTTATTCAAGAACGGAGCCTGGTAATGATAGGGTCTCTAGATTACCGGAGATGTTGGAATCCCCAAGGAGACGGTCTTGGATGCAATATTGTTAACATTACAACTATTTCAATTTAAAAAAAAATGATATAGTGAATCCATCTCCGATTCTATTCTAATACTGTTGAAGAAGCAGCCACGATATACGTACCAAAGAGAAAGGGCAATATGAAATGAGTGTCTTGGGACAACGAAAAGATCAGGGAGAAACGGAAATGCCTAACATACAATAAAAGAAATGGCGCACCAACTGCCGAACATGCAGAAACACTTGACAAAGCCAAGAAAGATCTCCAGGATGCATACGGTGAAGAGCAGTAAAATTACATAGCTCAAAAGTGCACTGAGATCGAGATTGGTGCAGTCCAACAGCAGACTAGGAAAGTATGGAATATTGTGAAAGAGATCACTGGAAAGGCCTCGACCCCAGTGGATCAGCTTAGAGGTAAAACACCCTAAGAGAGACTAAACCAGTGGAACTTAGCGCAAATTCTAACTTTGCGAAAACTGGTGGGAGGTATTAAAGCAAGTATCTGACAGCAGTGCTTACTTTCGTGGATTTTAAGAAGGCCTTCGATTCAATCAATAGGCAGAAGATGTTAGAGATCTTAAGAGCCTACGGAATACCACACACAATAGTTACAGCAGTGTAGGGGTGATGTACAAAGATACCACAGCTCAAATACGTTCACCAGATGGAGAGAATGTCTCCTTTACCATCTTAGCAGAAATGCTCCAAGAAGATACCTTAGCACCATGCCTATTCATCATAGCATTGGATTATGCTCTAAGAATGGCTACTAAAGGGTTCGAGGATCTAGGCTTCACCCTAGAGGAAAGGAAAAGTAGCAGATATCCTGCTGTAATGATCACAGATACCGACTGTGCTGATGATATTGCACTAATTTCAGACAATCTGGACAAGTAAAGTCTGCAGCAAGCCAAGTCGGTCTACAAATAAACAGTACTAAGACATAATTCATGATGTACAACCTTCGTGAAGGCGAGATTTGTACTGCTGACAGGACAAAAGTTGAAGCAGGTCCAAGACTTTCAGTACCTTGGCTCATAGGTTGATCAGTCAAAATAAGATCTGAATATTCGAAAGGCGAAAGCCTGGACCGCTTTGAACAAGCTGACAGCCATTTGGAAATAAAACCTCAGTAGACAACTGAAAGTCCGTTTCTTAAGGGCTTCAGTGGAAACTGTACTGTACTGAAACTGAAACTGTACACGACTCTTGAGAGCAGCACTAAATGTCAACTGGAAGGACCATAATGACAAATATAGAGTTGTATATTATATGTGGACATTACACCGATCTCAGACAGACTGAGAGACCGCCGCCTCCGTTCCAGTGGTCATTGCTGGAGGAGTAAGAGTGAAATCATTTCACAAAATATGCTCCTCTGGGAGCCCTCAAGGGGCAAACGCACTAGAGGGCGCCCAGCAATGACTTACACAGACCAGGTAGTAAAAAAAAAACACTCAAAGGACACTCAAAAGAACTCTCAAAATCATGGAGGATAGAACTGAATGGAAAAGCTTGTAAAATCGGTTCGAGTACGCTCGACCTAGTAGTATTACGTTTTAGGCAGACATAATTTAGTGCGTGTGCTTTATTGATTTTCATCAAATTTCACGTCCAAATAAGGATCTAATTTTTATCTTGTTTCAATCCACATTATTGACTTTTTGTGGTTGAAGCATATTTATGATAAATATTGGCACTTCTAGTCTGTCAATGCTATAAAAAAATATTTTAGATTAATAATAATTGTGGATGAATATTTTTACAGAGAATGGATCAAAAAGTCTGAAATGAATTTATCTTGCGAATGCTTGCTCAACAGAGCCTATAAATACCTTGCCAGTCTGTTTTAGGATGGCTTTGGTCATTTATCAAAAATTTATAAATTTGAAACATCATGGAATCACCCTCCTTAATCTATTTTCTTTAATTCGGTCATCATTTCTGTCTTTATACCCTGATCATTGTCGAAACCTTTCACTAGGATCCCAAATTTAGCAGTCGATAGTATACAATAATACACATAAGTGAGGGCGTTAGCAGGGGTTATCAACACAAGGTAATTTTGGAAAAGTCATGATAGTTTTAAAATGAACTACACTAACGTTTTCAAATTTTCTATCCAGAACGATTCTCATTTCATTAATGTTGTTATAAAGAGTAGGAGAAGAACATCTAAAAGTATGAAACAAGAATTATGAAACAATGTGTATAACGGTGTATGTCATCAAAAAATGCAGTTTAATTTTTACAGTTTTCATTTATTTTTATTTTTTCTAGAGTAGTATTTCAAATCATGTACATTTCTCGAAGGACAGCCACATCAGTCGGGTAATGTATGTTTTTACGTTCTTACACTGCGGGTAAGTAGAATTGTTAGCGGTTTATGTGAGATGTACATTTTGTTACAAAGCAAAATGATTCTTTGGATACTGGTCAATTATAATTCGACAATTATCAACATGTTGATCAAGTGCGTTCGAAAATTGTAAGTATTGTAACAATATAGTACTGTTTAAATTTCTTCGTCTTCCTCTTCCGGCCATTCAGAGTAATGTCTGAAATGCTTTGCGTTGAATAGTACATGGGCGTTTTAAATCAACGATATCTCTAGATTAACTTGTAATGTTTAAAAGTGAAATTAAAACAAGAATTCATATGATATACAGTTTTTTACTTTGCATTCCTGTGGGTCTGCTAATAACATTTTGTTGTCTAATGTTCACGTTAAAATGACATTTCATGTGTTTTTATGGTATTCTTTTATTCTTACAGATAGACATCTTTCTTGCAAGGATAAAAAATTCACTACTTCAGTGTCAAAGGAGATCGTTGGACGGTAACACCAAGTGTATTGAGCCTACATGTACTGCTTTGGATTGGTAGGAGCTAGTAAAAGAAATCACAGGGAATTCATCGGAAATTCAAGAAAAAAAATGTGCTTGCAATAAGAAAGATGGGCATTAGAGTTGAGGACATTAGAATCGAGGGAAATCTCCATTCTTATTCTTTCGTGATGTATGGTGGGAAATTTTCCAATTTTGTATGTACAAAACTATTTTGAACTATTAATAAAGGTAACTAGATTGGTATAAGCAGTTGTAATATAAATGTATCGTAATGTTATCGTCATTCTTTAAAAAACTATTGAATGAAAAAAAAAACAGCAGAATGTATTGTTTACATATATTATGAACCTATATCGTATTTATTCTAATAACGATGATGATTGGTCAAATCAATGGCAGTTAGTTTGATAATAATGTGGACAAATTTGACAAAGCAAATCATAGACGGCTTCCATTTTTAAGAAGTGGAGATCAGCAGGAACGGCATTATGATACTAAAACTGGCAACGCTGTCGATTCCTCGTTCTCCAGAGAAACCATGACTGTGTCTATTATATAGGGTATAGAGCTCCCTTGTATACACACTTGTTATCAAAATGAAAAGTAATCTTGAAAGTATAGGCTTGAATGTTAGTATGGATCATTATACACACAACTAACATAATGAACTACCGAGTTGTCTCCGGTGCCCTCGTAGTCTCACGACAAAGATGTAGGCCTCATTTCATTTACTTAATATGTTTATTATTAATATTTACATTGTTACAGCATGTTATTTTATCAATCAGCTCTGTGTCCATTACAGTTTAATTTAAATGGTAAATTCCTTAAAATATTTGGAACATAATTGTATTTTTATGTCAGTATAGTATCCGAGGTGTCGTGGAATAGTGGTTCATTAATTGTCTCTCAATCCAAGGTTTGAGAATTCGAATCTCAGCCCGGCACTAATGTCGTTTGGCAAGACGTTAATCCACTTTGTCACTCTCCACCCAGGTTTAAATGGGTACCTGGCAATCGCTTGGGTAATACTAATTGTAGGACCCTCAGGGAGAACAGCATTGAAGCTGATGAGGCTTCCCTGGGTATACAATACTATTATTTATATTATTCTGTTAGGTGAGATTTAGTCTGGAAATACGATTTCCCCCCTTAAATCCGTGTAAGAAAAATTAAAATATCCCCCTCCCTCCCCCCCCCCCCCCCAAAAAAAAAAAAAAATTATTCAGTCTCTTTCTTTTTGTCTCAAGATGTATAGTGAAAAGATGATTATGTGGGAATTTTATGTTCGAAAGAATGTTTAGAGTTATCAGAGGTGTAAGTGATTTATGGTGTATTGTGATGGTACAATTTGAATGAATTCTCAGAATTGATAAAATTAAGATAATGATAATAGTATTTCAGTTACACTCTGCAAAATAGATGTTGTTCTGAAGAGGGTCCTATTATAAATTGCTAGAGGAGATGTACGGGTGTGCTCCCGCCCCACCCCCCCCCGAACTCCAATATTATGTAGGCCAATGCCCTATTTTTTTAAGTACAACGGCATGTATTTTAAATGTTTAGGATTTTAAACTTTGGGTCAGCAAAATTCCTTCAGGAATAAATTGTGGAAAGAACGAGGGCGGTATACCGTCTGCATATTCACTAAGATCTTGTTTATCGAAAATTTCTCGCTGTAGTTTTCTTTTAATTAAATTGCTCGAAATGAAGGGAATAAATTTAGAGAGGATTATTTTGTGTCGGTTTTTATGTCTGATGTGTATGATAGTGGCGGTGGAAATGAGGAAAGTAAAATAGATCCCTTAAAAACCGGAGTGTCCGACCTTATTCTAAGCTATCACAATTAAACTCAAAGCGAACATGCAGCTATGGTAGGCCCATGAGTATTTAAATCTCCTAAAGCTCCTAAAATGGGTCTCTTTGTTCTTATCTAAAGTGATATTTTGTGCTAGGTGCCCTAAGCCCTTGAGATGTAGCCATAGGCACGCCCCGCCCTCCCCGCCTGGCCGATCTATATGATTCTCTTGCATCAATATTCTTATCGGAATGCACAAAATTTATCTGAGAAAGCACCGAAACATTTTAAAATTTGCCGGGCCTGGTTGCTTCTGGGGGGGGGGGGGAGGTTGGGGTTGAAGTTATGAAGTTAAGGTACAGGCTAAGATTGAGTTTTGCATGAACTCACCCCCCCCCCCCGGTTTGGAATCCCAAGAGTGAAAATTGTAACCATCTATGGTCGTGGGAGGGCTAGAGACGAGGTGAGTAGTTGCTGCGCTATATAATGTTACAAATTGTTGCGGTGGGAATGTGTATGTCTTGAACATAATGCAATATGCTTGTCATACTCGAATTATATTCTAAGACAAAACCCTTCAAACTATTAAATTAATTTGATTGGATTATGAATAGATGCTTTGTACTGTAAGTGAAATATCATTTTCATCTCCTCATTAGGCCTACAATGCAAGATGCGGGGCAATTTCCTAAACCGTTAATGTATCGTAAAAACAGTCCGCGGTCCTGTTCGACCATATTATCTTTGGTGAATGCAGTTGCCTCAGATCGTAGAAAATACCTTCAATTATTTTCTTTAGGAAGGTGTTTAGATCGATCAGTGTTCAGCTGGTGACCCTATAAGCTAGTAAATGACACAGCCCCCCTGTTTATGCCATTGAAAGTGTGTTTATCATTTCAACCCCCCATTCACCCCCGGCCCCCACCCCCGGCCCCCACCCCGTTCCTTCAACAACAAAAGTTCCCGGGGCGCAACCGGCCTTGCTTACGAAATGTCACCTTTATTGAATTTGTATGATATAGCCACAGAGAACTGTAAAATCTTTGGATAAAGTAATTACATGGTGAGTCATTGAAAGAACCAAGTGCCCATCAACGATCGCGCAGGCCTTTGCAAAATTGCAAGGGCAAATGAACTTCAGAGTGCTGAAAGTTGGGTGGTGTATTAATAATTATGTTGTTGTTGTTGGGTAATTGTTTATTGGCGTTCATTCAATGTTGAATATATACGCCATAATTATTTTTAATTTTATAAGGAAAATCAGTTATAAATAAGAAAACTGAGGATAAAGATTTGTAATGATATAAGGCGAGGCGTCAAAAATAAATATACCAGCCAGCGGCAGCTAACTGCACTTGTGCGTCTTGGCTGCATTTTTTAAATTAGCTCAGCCGGCTACCGCTGGCGGTAGGACCCTCAATTAACTCATGATGTCATCATAATGGTCTCCGAACAAAAGCATGCGCCGGCTGCCGCCTTTCTAAAGGAAACCGAGCCTCAGATCCCAGCCTGGCGCAAGCCGGCTGGGCTAATAAGTGAAAAATAATTGCCCCAGCCAGGCTTCGGCCGTAATTGCAGCCTCGATGCGCCAATACGTGAGGCGGCAGCCTGCTGGTATCGATATTTTTGACGCCTCGCCTAATTAAAAAGTAACGCAATTTTTTAGGAGTCTCTGGATGGTTTGCAACTTCGTGTTTCTGCTTTTTTTTAAAGTTTAATCTGGTCAGCCCGGTTTCGATGGCATGGAAAACTAGCTTTGCCCGATGTGAAACAGGCTTCTCGGCTACTCGGCGTGCGTGCGCAGTGATCTTTTAATTTTATAACGCACGGTGCCTAGACCACTCAGAAACACAGAAACACTATAAATTGAGACACATCGTACAGTGGCGCTCCTGGAACCGAATTTCCAATCCATTCAAGTAAATTGATATACAAATCTTATCACATTATCACTATTTGTAAGCAAACATTTAAGTGGGCTCTTTGTTAGTATCAATGCATAAAAATAGAACAATTGAAAAATTAACGTCTTTATTTAATATTATATATGGCCTATATAGGCCTATATATTACATACCTACATACATTATATTTCTTTATTTATTCCTCCTTTTATTCTCTTTATGAGAATCTCCTAAAGAAGCGATAGGGGAAAGAAGTACTTTTGGCTTATTTTACTTTACTTGTAGGTAAACTTATTAGGTCTCTTGTTTTATTTGAAGCGACCTGTTCTATGGATATATAGTAGGATGGCATATTGAGCCTTCTGTGAAAACTTGAAAAGTATTCTTTTTGTTTCTTCTATTGTTTTGGTGCCTAAATCTGAGAAAAGCATTGCTCGTTCAATGATATACTTATTACAATAAAATATAAAATGTTCTTCTGTTTCACTGATGTTACAATAATCACAATATTCTGTTTCACTTAAACCCACTTTAGCCTTTTGTTGGTTCAGTTGAAGAACACCCATTCTCAATCTATGTAATATTACTTCACTGTATCTGTTTACCTTGATTGATATACATGAATGATTCTCAAATCGTTTTAAAGGTGATTCTATCGTTTTCCATCTTTCTTCCCCAATTTCTCGTACTCTTTTACTCAGTATTGATTTCAGTTCTTGTACATTAAGATCATTGTTAATTTCTATGTTTTTCTTTAATGCTCTCTTAGCAAAACTATCTACTACTTCATTCCCTACTAGTCCACAGTGAGATGGGATCCATTTTAGCGTTATGTTTATACCTCTATAATGAAGATGTGTTATTTTTTATCAGTATTTCTATTACGAAATTTTCTTTTATCTGCGATTCTATTGCATTTATTGTACTCAGAGAGTCTGAAAGAATAACTATACCAACATAAATATTCAAGTTTTCAATCCAATCTAATGCCATAATAATGGCTACTTGTTCTGCCCTGTATGACGATGTGTCATTGTGTAATCGTTTCTGTTCATGAATTTTCATCGCTGGTACGTAGAAGCCTGCTGCTGCGTTGCCTCTTTTAGGATCTTTAGATCCGTCTGTGTATATATGTAGGTGTGTTTTATATCTAGTGTTTATTACTTCTAAAGATTTGGCTTTTTGATAGTGTGGGTTGTCATTCTTGCTGATTAAAGTATGTAATTCAGTGGAGATGGTGGGTGGAATGTAATGCCATGGTGGAAATGGTATTGGTCTGTTTTCTTCAACTTCATCCGATTCTTGAACTATTTTCTCGTTTAGAATTCTAAAACCAAAGGGCTTTTTTCCTTTCTTTTTTTTAAGATTTTCATACTGCCAACAGTTGATTGTACATTTTCGGACTGGGTGTTCGGGAGTAGATTTCACTTTAAAATAATATCTATTCGTCAGCATTTTTCTCCTTATATCTAGTGGTTCTTCTCCTGTTTCTTTAAGCAGGGATTGTAATGAAGTTCCAATAGGGCCACCAGTTATAATTTTTAAAGCCTGATATTGTACTGAGTTCAACGTATTCTTTACTAAGTTTGAAGCTGAATCGTATGCTTCACATCCATAGTCAAATAGTGAACGTATTAATGCTTTATATACAATAAGCATAGAGTGGGAGTCATTTCCCCATGATATACCAGTTATTTTCTTCAAAATATTCAATTTTATTTTACATCTTTTTACTATATCCTGAATATGTGGTCTCCAACTTAATTTTTTATCAAACATTAAGCCTAGGAATTTGTGCTCCTGTACAAAAGGCAAGGGTACTCCTTCAAGATTCAGTTCACATTTTTTATTACTATTTGTAAATAGAAGCGAAACTGTTTTTTCATGAGATATTGAAATTCCCCAGTATTTAAACCATTCATTTAACCGATGTAGGTATGTTTGAACTTTGTCTTGAACAAACGTTTCATTTTTACCTGATTTCCATATAATTATATAATAATTATGTTTGAGGTGGATTAAATACATAGCCAACAAAACGATTCATGATTTCGCTTTGAAGATACAGTAGAATGAAATTAGTGATTATTTATTTTTTACTGATCAAAAATATTTAGTCATAATAACTTATTTTTCTGTCCACAAATATCAAATAAACTTATTAAACAAATTTTAATTTCAGAATTTTTTTTAAACGAATTTTTCAAAGTTATTTTATTGATATACACAAATTAATTCAATTCGAGTCTAGTCGAGTCCATATTGCCAATTTGATTTAAAGTATCATCTCTAGGTGTTTTCTCTGTGTGTAAATTGCCATAGACAGCTGTTACGTGGACTTTTACGTCGCCGCTAGGCGCTTGAGTATAGATATGCCAGTGAAAATGCTTTTATTATATACGAACAATTATTATACAGCGTATGTTATGGATCTAGAGTGGTGAAAATCATATTTGGCATGCCTCATATTTTCATACAGTCTCGGCCGGTGTACTTCAATTAAAATGAGCACGGGACGTCGCTCGATTCCTTCGTCCAGATCACATCCGTCATTCACTACGGCTACCCACGGCTACTCGCTAGGGTCGCACTCGTCCACTAGCGATGGGGAAGCGCAGGGGAGAGGAAAGGAGGCTACCGGCACAAGAACCAAACGGCAAGCAGGCTTGTCAACAGAGCAATATTTGCCATCAGGTGTTAGAAATAATGAAATTGAGCAAGTGTGTGATAATATCAATGAGAAATTATCAGTTAATGCCATGACCTCGGATATATCGAGTAGATCATCAAGGGACCATTCCATATCAAAACTTCATCATGAAAATCAAGCTTCGTTCAATTCTGCAGAGCTGCAAAAACATGAACGTTTAGGTCAAGGAAGTCAAGCAAATGAAAGAACCATGATCCGTGGAAGAACAAGTAAAAGTCCAATGATAACACCATGGCGGAAGTGCGCATTGTGTAGTATTGCGATGAGAACTCAAACAGACTTTCTCAAACATTTACGGGATAAACATTGTGCAAAAGAGGGTGGATCATTCGTTTGTCGTTATGGACTTCATGGTGTATGCCCGACCCTGCCTGTGGATGGAGTGAGTGACATTGACTATGAATATCATGTTGCGAAGGATCATATGATGGATGAAGGTAAAATATTACGTCAACTTGGGTCCTTGGGAGTGACTTGGCCTTGGCTACCAAGCAAGTATAGAGGAAATAATTCTGCAGAGGCTGATCCGTCAAGTCACTCAACTGCGGAAGCATCAACCATCAACCAATGTCATTGAGAACATGCCCTTTTAATGAAATAGACTACTTGTAGTTGTAGAGGAAGATTGCAGAAATAAAAAAATTGAGAAAATATACTTGTTCAAAATAGGGTCTATATAAAAAATATGTTGTAATAATGGTTAGTATTGGCCCTATGCAAGGCCGAGTAAACTAAAGAAAGGTGTGTTGTTTTAATTTTTAGGTCGATGTCAGTTTTCATATGTGTTTACATTTTATTCTTACATTTAGTATGTACATGATTTGAGGAGATTTAATGCTGGAGGGAAAAAATTTCTCTGATAAGAGACATCGTGTATTCAAATTTCCAACTCTTAATTTGCAATTCTTAATTTGCAATCGTTAGAAACGTAATGCTGTTCTTCATAATGATTGTAAATTGATTAAAAAAAATTAAAAGATGTATGAAATATTGCTTGTAAACTTTTTTAAATTACTGTTTTAAAATCAACTGTCAACCAAATCAAATCAACCGATACACATTCTGTCCATACACACAGCGTCATGGTATGTCATTTAAATAGTTGGGAGTTGGGACTCTCTAAATAGTTTATTCCAATGATTCCTACTTTATAACTTTCAAATGCAGATTTCGAAGAATGATTAAAGTAGCAATTAAGGGATTAAAACTAAGTTGATTAGTTACTGTTCTATAATTATTTTTGTCTTTCTTTTTTATTGCTAGTGGCTAGATAATTTTCCAATTGTAACACTTGCATGTACAGTTTATAGCCAATTCCAGATATATTCATGTAACGTGGACGTTTAATTGACAAAATAGTAAACTTGATGACTTCCTGCTCTTTTTTTTCTCCATCTTTTATATCTCTCTAGCTTTTGCTAGTAAATTAAAATCTGCAGCTCGTAGTGACACTCTTCCTACGTCAACAGCTCCATCAGTAGTCAGTGTTCAACAAAAATGGACGCCCCTGTCCTCGGTGGTCAACTTACCTGCCGTCCTGAATGACCCCAGAAAGGTCAGACGAGAAACAGATTTCTTCACTAAGACCTGGGGCGAGGGCTTTGTGGACCACAGTGAAATTCCTTCCTCTCCATACGTCCCTCGCATTTCTAGAATCCACTTTGAGAAGTATCTCAGGCAGGTGGCATGTGTGAGTATTTCTTTGTTAATCACCCTATTTGACTATTGTGTGAATGTAAATTGCATGAAATTAGTAAGAATATTCACTGTAAAAAGTTGTAGGTTTCTTGGGCCTAAAGAAAGATGGAAGTTGTCTTACAGAATCAGATGTTAAAGAGGCCATCTTTTTATAGCACACGTAACTACATGGAGTTAGATTATCATTAAGCATAATATGCCTTGAATTATTTTTTGTAATTTATTTAATTTTATAAGTATCTTTCTTGCTCAACATGTTTGCCAACATGTACATGTATGTTCCAAGTCGAGTACCAGTACCTTTGATTAAATAATTCATAAAACCTAATAATTCATTTTACACATAAATTATTCTTGTGGTCCAATTTAAAGATTTCACCTTTGCTTTTACTTCTCATTTGTGATGAAACTGGAATATTTGTATGTGTTTTGATGTCTTCTTTTTATTTTTATTTCATTTGATGACCTTTTATATGATATAGAAACTTCATCAACATAGAAGAGCGTCTGCAATCAGCACCTCATCACAAAGCGACGATGATAATCAGAGCTCAAGTCTTGCCACTGGAAGTAGAGGTTAGCAAAAACAATCGATCACCATTCTGCACATTAATGATTGTATTGTAGTCTATGCTTGTAGTAACTGCGAAATAAAATACATTGAATGTAATCTCATTCAGCATGATTAAAGAATTATATAAGAAATCAATTCCAGTGAAGTTCAAAGTTCTTAATTCTGCATTTGTTTACAATATGATAAACTCCATAAAAAAATTATGTGTCATTGAGATGTCACATAACCTGTCAAAGATTGAGTTTTATATACCGGTATGACCCAGGGAAAATTTCAAGTTATGACACGTAAATAAGACTGTAAAATGGATAAAGATGACTCAATAAAACAAATACTGATTTTTTTTTTAGGTAATCAGAAATAGTATGCAAATAGTCTATTTGTAGAAGTACAGCTACATGTATACAACTATAATCACAATATGCAAACTTACCAATGTTATAGTTTAGTGATAGATGTTGATCATCACAACCTAAGGAAAATTCAGAAATGTACTGCAAATTTTATATATTTATATCACTCTTAATTATCATACAACAAATTTTCAGTGTATTTTAATTATTTTCTTTACCTTTATTGTTACATAATGTCTCATGATTTTATATACTTTGCATGATTCCTAGCACTAAATAACCAACGTTGTTTTTTCTGTTTAATAGAAATTGCATACTAAAATAGTTTAATACAAGAAGGCATTTTAGATTATTATCATGAAATTTCTGCTCTTTACAAGGCATTGCTTATTGACTCCAAGTATATGATGGTAACTTTACACAGGAATGGCATGAATATTTCCATTAGTACACTGCATTCACAGTATTTGCAAACATTTTGCCCACACTCGCAAACTTGGAGCAAGTCAAATGACGGTTGTCACGCAGTCATCAGTTATATTTATTAGTTGTAGCTGATTTCATTCTAATTTCCTTTGCATATTAAACAGACTCAACGCCTGAATTACAGCAAGTGCCAAAGGTAAGAGAGAAATAAAAACATTTTCCTTTACTGTTATAATCCTTTTACTGTTATAAATCTTGTCTTGAAACGTGAAATGTTTAATGCTGTGTATTCATACAAAATGATGCAGTAAATGATCATTATTACACATTCCCTTATAAATGCCTTGCTCAAGTGTTAATGAAACCTGCTTGAATGATTGACAATTAATTAAAGTGGAAGATTGATTCTTGATCATTAAAGTGATTAAACTTAGCCAACTGAATTTTGCATGGGTACAAATGCAGGTTATCTGTTACAAAGATTTCTGAATACATTGTATCAAGAGTAATAAAGATAAAAAGGAATGACTGTTATGATGAAAAGCTAGCATCATTACAGCAAATTAATTACCCATTTCCTGCCTATGGCTAGCCATAGACATTGTGGGTATAATTGAACAAACCCATATAAAATTTGAAGAGAGGAATAGACAGATGTATGAAAAAGTACTTTAGGACAATCTCAAGTGTTTTATAAATCATGATTACAGTATCAAATCCATGTATATGTTTTATCTTTTTATTTCAGATGTTTTTCAGGAGCGATTTTGCCCTTGAAAATCAAGACACATTTGAAGCTGTGTTACCATGGTCACAGTTCAAAGGTCAGCAGTCTTCAAAGCTCCTACAAGAAAAGGTAATCAGAAAGTAACATTCAGAAGCGGTACATGATCAAATCGTGATGATTAAATCTGATGGATTTTGTTGTGTATACAGCAGGGAATAATTTTCCTCAAATTTTTTGATTAGCAATTTCAGCCGATGGATAAATATTTCAAATGAAATTCTGTACATTTCTATGGAAGAAAACTGCTACACAAAAGATATTTTGTATAGCAGTCGTGCAAAAATGCATAGCAAATTGCGATGCGATACCAGGAAAATTATTCCCTGTACAGTGTAGATATAACAATTTTTTTTAAATAGCGCATAGAGACTTCGGTGGTAAGCGCTTTATAAGTAACGTTTTTATTATTTATTATTTATTGTTATAATGTGTTGTGGTTGTCCTTGATATTATCATAATAAACATATACACAACGGATGTAGTTAAGGGTTTTCACTTTTCACCTCTCTTTTGATACAGTAGCAGTGAACTATGTATGTGTGAATTCATTTACATTTTAGGATGTTTTGATAATTAAGAGGACATAATTGAAAGGTCATCTTGATCACATAATGCACCAAGTTTTGAAAACCACCTTTTCAAATTGATCAACCAATGTCTTTTATGATTGAACAATTATAATTGTCATTTCGTCCAAAGGTTTAGTGTGGTCAGATGAATATTATTGCATTGTTCTTAAATTCAGCTGTCATTTTCATAAATTCACAGCTAAGCCACTATCTTGACATAGTAGAGGTTCAGATAGCTCGTCAGATCTCCATGCGTTCCAATGCCTTCTTCAGTGCAATGGCATCTCATGACAAACTCCAAGAGGACCTAGTAGCAACCACAAAAGCAGTACAAGAACTCAGGTAGGTAGAATCACTGCAGAAATATAAGATGTCTTGACATAGAACTCAAATTGTTGCTGACACCTATTTTTGCTGCAAGAAACTTTGTTGAATTTCACTGCAAAATTTCAGTGTTGTAAATCAATTATTTTGCAGCATGGACCACTCTCAACATTTTTGAAGGTTTTGATGCTCATAAAACTGTCTGGTTTCTTTAGTATAGTGTGGTGAGGTCTGTTAATGTTCTTTGTTATCCTAGCATGATATCTTGCAGTATACAAGGCATTGTGAGGAATTTCACTTTTTACCAGATCCTGGATATTCGTTCAATTTGACCCTGACCTACATGTACATGTAGTAGTGACCACAACATATGTTACCACCAGGCATGTGATGTAAACCATCTATAAATAAAATCAACCACTGAAAAAAATGAGATTTGTAAATCACATACATGTACATGCATACGGTAGCACACACATCAGTAAGGAGAACAGTTTTTATGTTACCCCAACCACTTTGCATGTTTCCATTCACTTACAATCAATTTGTTTTTAATTTTGCTGTTAAATACATTTTCAGGTGATTTTACCATTTTAAAACAGGTTGTCAGTACATGGGTCAAGAGAGGTTATTGTAAGAACATTACTTTGTATTGATAACTGGCTCATAGTATAGACTCATGAATATTTATTTTCAAATTAAAGATAGATATCACTGATGGATATTTCCTGAACTCAGTTACTTTTTGCAAACAATATTATATTTTTGTTTAAGCTACCAAATAGCTCCTATACCATAAAGTATCCCAATGTCTCATTCAAGTTTGAAGCTCTCTAATCATTCCATTTATGTCTTGATTTAGAAATATTTATTGGAGATTTGGATATAAGGTTTTTCATTTACACATGAATAGAATTAAATAAAGTAGAGTAGACTGATGAGTTTGAGAGTCTTAGTAAGGTAGATAACTCAGGATAATATAGAGTCAGCAGTCTGGTTTGTTGTTTATTCAACTACGACGGATACGGGATATTCGCATATCGCATATCATGATAGACCTAGTTTCATTGTATGACCTGGTAATGACTTTCTGACTATCAGTTTAATAACATCCTCTGTTTTTAATGTACAAGATGTATGTAGTGTATTTTCTTGTTTCTACATATTGTAGAATGGAAGAAGTTAACTGTTCACATTGCCATTTTCATTTCTACATTTTGGCATCCAGATTTTATGTGTATCATGTGAGAAGAGAAAGAAATGGAATTAATGTTCTTCTGCCCCTCTTTTTCTTTCACTCGGTGTCTCATTCACAGGGAAAAACTCAACAACATAGACCAAGTATTAGCTAAAGGATCACTAGAAGTTTTGAGGTTAAAGATATCTAGAGTCAACTATGTGAAAGTATACAACAAGGTAAGCAGCTGGCCAGTGCCATAACTCTATCATTTCTGGATTTACCCACACACACTAGCATTAAATATAATCTTAATTGCTGTTAAAGAAACTGTACACTTTGAGGAAAAACCAGCCAAAAGAGATTGGTTTGTCATGCAAAAAATATCGTTCAGGGTTTATCTTTCTTTTTTTTTTGCGAAAATCATCCAACGACAATGGAAAACGCCATTAAAACCAACAACAAGCATTACTCTCTTTTTATGTTTATTCATTGAAAATATACTTGCTTGATAGTTTTGATGATTTTACCTTTGAGAATGGAAAATATAATATTATTTATGCTTTCTATTTGTATATATATGTACTCTTCTTTTTGTAGCTGAAGCTGATGGCCACTGTCCATCAAACTCAGCCCACCATTCAACTGCTGCTGTCTAACTCTGAGTTTGTAGGAGCCCTCGATCTCATCTCCACCACTCATGAGATCTTAACTCAGGAGTTAGCAGGGATTCAGAGCTTCAGGTTAGAGACTCATTCATTTATTCATCTATTTCATGCATTGCTGTATGATCTTTCATCCTACGAATAAAGGATTAAGCAAATCTTGCACTGTTAACGATTTAGTTGATCGGAGAGGAATTGTGTGCTATACCTAATGTGAACAATGTGTAGAATATGATCAAGCTGGTTTATGGGAAATCTAGACTCAAATAATTTGTTCATAAAAGATATTCTGATTAAAAAACAAAAGTTGTAACAAAAGTTTTGGATGGTTCATGAAGAGCTGCACGAGTATTGCTTCCGGAACTTTAATGCATTTTTTATGTTTAGGTGATTAAGAACATTGGAGTATTATATGGAGAAAAAATTGTTTTAATTGAGGCATAAGCCATAGGAGGTAGTAATGGTAGAATTTTTTACAGTTTTCATTGGAATCATCCGTCTTGTTTGTAGGCATCTGAGTTCTCAGCTGATAGAGATGGAGAAGCTGATCGATAAGATGCTATCTGAGGAGTTCACAAGGTTCACCTGTCAAGACCTTAATCGACCTCTAGATGACCCCACACCAACTCAAGAAGTATGTGATTCCTGCGTCTGTACTATTTAAAATACTATGTGATTAAGGACTATGATAAAATGTTTGCTACTTTTATAGAAGTAATTTTCTCTGATTCTGTTGTTTATTTATTTCACCTCTGTTCCTTTTTATATCTCTTAACATGAACTTTTATGAAATACATGCTACTCGAAAAGCCTTTTTGTTTGAGTTAGTAAGTTATACTGATAAAAAAGCATCACTAATGTAAACTACATACTTTTACTAGTCATTTTCCATTGAAGAAAAAAATCCTTGCTCTTATTTTATGCTTATTCCTGCTCTTTTGCTCCTATCTTCTTGTTGAATATAAGGACAAGTTGTCATCGGTTGTTTTGGGCATGATGCGACAAAGGAAATTCATCTTTCTGGATGCTTATAAAGAGGAAACTAATGGTGCAATCAAGGCAGCTATCAAACAGGTAATTATCTCAACATCTGTTTATTAGCGTTGTGAATCGATCAACCATTACAGCTGTTCTTATGTAGTCAGATGTTGATGATTATAAGATATTGACTTGAGTGTGCTAAACTACTTTTAATTTTGTTAGATATTGGGAAATCGTGTCTTCTTCGTTTTTTAAATTTCATGCGTATTGGAAAACTGTAGAAATATGCTATTGAATGAATCAATTATTCTGGTCTACTGAGATCCAGAAGGGTGTTGGTTTAGCACTCTTCTGGCTCTCAGTAAACAATTTATCAATGTTAAAATCTCACAAATTAAAAAATTACACTCAGAACTTTTAGAATCACTAGTGAGGCAGCAGTAGATTTATGTTGAATAAATGCAATGTGTTGATAATCACTTTGGTTGGTACTAAATTTAAAAAATAGTAGTACATTTTGTGCTACTGCTGATTTTTGTTACTTTTTTATCAAATTTACTCAATTTTTCAAAGAAACTGTGTATGATATGATTATACTAGTTACAGTGCAAAGGAAAGCCTCAGTAAGTACCGGTAGTTAAATTCTCTTTACAAACACTGAGAATTAAATGTTAATGTTTTTTATTATTATTTTTAATTTCCTGTGTTCTATCCAGACTGTTGTAGAATCTGTAGCTGAGGCTGATAATGCTGAGAATGAACTAACCCCATCCAGGTAAGAAAAATGTAACATCTAATAACTTCTGGATTATAACCTATTGCCATGTTGTTGTTTGCTATAAAGTAAGCTACTTCTGCAGTTTGTCCTTTGTTTGCTTGATTGATATTTTCAATATCTTAAAATCTTTTTCTTGCAGTTTGTCGGAACAGATGAGACTTCTCAACTTCTCACAATGGCTGGATCTCTTCAACAAAGTCTTCATGAACCTCATGATACTGCTTACAAGAATAGAGGTAATACTGCACATTCCTTCTCTGTACTATATTTCCACTTATTCCAACTCATGAACTTGCAGTCGGAATTAGAGTCTTTAAAAGTTTTCTTATCATGAGCAACATCAGAGGTTCTGGTCGTGGCATCTCTGATATAGCATTTAATCATCAATAAACGTTCAAAATTGAGCAGTGTCAAATTACAGTTGTAGAAAGCTGTATGCAGATTACATTTTTATGCCTCGGTTACGAAGTAGCCGGAGGCATTATGTTTTCGGGTTGTCCGTATGTCCGTCCGTCCATCCGTCCGTACGTCCATACAGAGCTGCCAACCATTCCGTTTTTGCCGGAATTACTCCGTTTTTTCCTCCAAATTACGGTACTACGTTTTTTCTTCATAAAATACGTTTTTTAATAATTTTTTAATTTTTTTTTTTTAAATTTATTTTATTTATTTATTTATTTATTTTTTTTTTTATTTTTTTTTTTTTTTTACATACCACACGTCAAACAACTGCCCTTTAATGGTGATTTTATCACAAATTCAATAGAAAACTTATTTTAAAACATACTTGAAGAGAAAAATATTCTCAAAAGAAAATAAATGCCGATAATACCAAAATAACCACAAAAAAATTACCTGCTTGTATGGAAAAAACAGCATGATGAATGAACATTTCTGCATTGGAAGTGTGTCGCGCGTGGTTGTAAGGTTCTTTTTATGAATTCCTTTTTTTGGCTTGAAATTCCTTTTTTTTGCCATCATGATTCCTTTTTTTGGTCGCACAAGGTTGGAAGCTCTGTCCATACGTTCTCGTGATTGATTCCTACCAAACTTTGGTCATGTATGTAACTTGCAGAGCCAATGAATTGATTAGATTTTGGGGTCACCAGGTCAAAGGTCACAGGGCTCATTATGTCTGCAAAAATAGCTTGTGATCACGTTATCGCAATAACTGATTGATGGATTCCTGCCAAACTAAGGTCATGTGTGTATCTTGCAGAGCCAATTACTGTAATTGATTAGATTTTGAAGTCACAAGGTCATAGGTCAAAGGTAACAGGGCTCATTATGTATGCAAAAATAGCTTGTGATCACATTATCATTAGAACAGATGGACAGATTACCATGAAACTCAGGACATGTATGTATCTTGTAGAGCCAATGAACTGAGTAGATTTTGGGGTCATGAGGACAAAGATCAAAGGGTCATACATGTATATGAGAAATGGCTTTTAATCACGATATTCTGAGAACCTGGCAATGGATTACAATCGAACTTCAATTTGAAAAATTTCTTCAGTTCCATCTAGTTTTCTTCTTTCGTTTAATGAAGTACAGCAACAAGGCCTATGTTTTGTGCATTTTGAACAATCGTAAATTAGCTCTTTGAAGTAGATGATAGCGTTCATAGTTGGTGAAATATTTTAGTAATTTAGCTGCTCATGCTTTCACTTAGGGATATTGCAAGTTAGCTTTTTTCTGTACTAGTATTAATGTGCCATTGAAGTAGTTGATGCCTTTGAAATGTGGTGCTACAGGAGGCTGTTGCAGGTGTCATGGAAAGATAAGAAAACAAATGTGTGGGTCCTGGAAAAGATTGGACAAGACTTGACCATCAGAAGGAGAATCATGGAAAGAAAACTTAACTATTTTGGGCACATTGTTAGGAGATCTAAAGGTATTGAGAAGCAAATACTGCAAGGAGCAGTCGAAGGAAAACGGGGTAGAGATCGTCCACCAATATCTTGGACTGATGATATTAAAAAAGTGTCTGGACAAGGAATGAAAGGTGCAACACAAATGGCAGATGAAAGAGTTGCATGGCGTGCTCACGTGAAGGCCACAGCAGCGCTTTAAAGCGCCACCTGAAGTTGATGATGATGATGAAGTTGTACTATTTAGATATTGCAGAGTAGGATAAATACTGTAAAATTCAATAGAATGTTAACATCTCCAAATTCCCCTCTCTCTCTCTCTCCCTCTCTCTCTCACACCCTCTCTCTCACACCCTCTCTCTCACTCTCTCTTTTTCTCTCTCTCTCACCCCCTCTCTCTCACTCTCTCTCACACACTCTCTCTCTCTCTCTCTCTCTCTCTCTCTCTCTCTCACTGTAGTACACACACAGCATAATGCAGAAGCTGGTCAACATGGCTGCCGGCAAGACCAACGATGAAGTGAAGAAGGTTGAGAATGGTTCCGGTGAGGGTCATACAGGGATGAATGGTATAAGATCGAGTCCTGTACAATCTGAAGAACAGACTAGTGATGATGAGAGACTTGCAGAGATTGAAGAATGTATGGAGGCTGAGGCAATGTGAGTCGTCTTTTAAGAATTTGTCATCCAACAAAATGTGTTTGTCTGTGGTGTTTAAACATTGAGCATGCAATATCGCACTGAGAGAGAATTTTTTAAGGGTAAAATTCCTTGTTTGGGATTGTGCCCTAGTTTGTTATTATACCCAAGTTTGCCAAAATTGTAATATCATTTCTTCAAATTGTATCACAATCTTTTGAAATTAATATGGTTTGAAATATATTCTGCTGTATCAATAATGTAGAGAACTATGGAGCTGTTATATTTACCTTTTCTTAGCACGTACACTTCAAATATCATGTATTGATTCTGACTCCATCCAGACTGCCCCAAGGTGACTTTCTGATTGCACCTAATGAACATCAGAGATTGACCGCTGGTTTATTTGATCTGATGGGATCGGTCTGTGACTACATGCATGACCGCTGTCTCAAACTACTCATAGCTAGAGGAAAGGTATGTATCTATGTCTTGTCAATTGATAGCTTGTACAGGGTATGATTACTCTTATGAAGGTTTTATATGATTGTCATGAAATAATGCTGAATCTGGAGTTTAATATCATGTAGTAAAATGTTGTATAGTTAAAATATCAAGTATGAGATGATCTTTCTGTACAATCTTCATAGAGCAGAGTGATGAATAGCAAAAGAATTGTAGTAAGATGGTATGTAATTACAACTTAGCCATGCTTTCAAATTTTGATTTCATTTGGACTGAAAGATTGTAAAATATATTATCTAGATTGTTTCGAAGCAATATATTAAAAAAAGACACCCATACATGTTTGTATACTTATTTGACAAATCATTCAATTTTGAAATTTATGGGTTTTTTCTTTTTAATTTTACCCTTTCTGATTTATATGTGTAGACGTATATTTGTAGACATATATTTGTATTTTCTTTGGTTGAGATTTAAAGGTTAACCTTTTATCACATGTGATATTTTTTAATTTTTTTTTTTAATTCAAGTGCATAAAGTATGTACATAAGCGACAAGTTAACTCAATTTGCAAAACAAAGGTAATGTCTTTCAAGGTATTCATAGTTTGCACTCTAATACTATATTTCTCGCTTTCTTTCTCAGGATGGTTTCCTGGAGCGGCTGAGTTCCAGTGAGTTCCTAACACTCTCCAGGACTATCAAGGTCTTTGTGAGTAACTGTGATGAGATCTGTGGCAGGAGGAGTACTTCACTCATTGGAGGTCTACAGAATCAGGTGAGGGAGGAGAGATTAGAAGAATGATCAGATTCAACAAAATAAAGCTGGGCAGGTCCAATGTATTTGGTCGTTGGGTTCAAGTGACATTTTCCTTGATATATTCATCAGGACCTCGTCTTATAAAGAGTTGTGATTGTCATTAATCCAAACCAATCGAAAGTCCTCCAATCAATCACAAATAAGTTGCGTTTAAAGATAAACTTGAGTTCTGGTAATGCGATTGCATTGTGAAAGAAAAGGCGTGGAATGGATCAGAAAAGTTGATCATATAGCATGTAAGTAATGGTGTGTAATGCAAGGTTCTGGAGTCTTCAAAATCATCATAAATTTGGCAGTCTTTGTAAAGTAACAATCACTTACACAGAAAGATGTATATGGGACAACACACATGGTGTTGGGGCTAGTACTACCCTGATTTCCTCATCTTTCTATGCTCATTACTCAGCCAGTATATATTTTCTTCCAAAATTGTTTGGCACATGACATTTATTTGTAATCTTGAACATTCATTGTAAGTTTCGTTAGATTCTGTGAGAATTCATTTTCTTTTTTTACCAGAACTCAAGTTTATCTTTAAAGATGAAGTTGAGTTGCGGTCATGCGATTGCATTATGAAAGAAACGGTGTGGAACCGACCAGAAAAGGTTGATCATCTAGCATATAAGAATGTGTGTGTATTGCAAGGTTCTGGAATCATCAAAATGATAAGAAATTTGGCCAAGTCTTGGTAAAGTTACAAACACTTGCACAGAAAGATGTATATGGGACTACACGAACACGTGGCGTAAAAAGCCGGCCCCCGATTTTTACAATGTTACATGCATATTTAGAATATGAAGGCATTTGAAGAGCCATGCTTTTCAGGAAACATGTCTTAACTGATGTTCTTCCACACTTGCATAATAAGAATGAGTAATGCTCACAAATTATTTTTCACCTCTTCCCAGAACTCAACCTTCTCTTTAATATCAACTCTATATATAGGACGGGACCCAGGTATATCATAATATTTGATGAAAACGATGATGTATTAGACAAAATACCTTGGACTTACCAAGCTATAGAGATCATTCTTCTGTTAGCTGGATACCTGTTTCTGCATGTTTCCCATTCTTATTTATAAGTGTCAAACAAGATCATTTTGATATAATATATGTGAAAGTATATTGTTGCATGATTATGTAGGAGAACATTAGGGAACAACAGATGTAAAAGACAAACAAATTTTGTTGCAAAATATCTGTCAAAATGTATTCAAACAAAAGGACATTTTCTCATAGAGTTTGTTTAGTGTATGCATCTTTGTTTACATATCTAATGTTTCACAATCACATTCTTGCTCAGTATGTGTAACTAAAGCCATTGCCCCTTTAGTATTCTTCTATTGTCTTGGACGTGTTACATGCAAAGCAGCAGTTACTTCTATGAACACACTTTTGATATGTGATTTAAGAATATTTGAATTATAAAATTAGAGTTACAGATGTTTATAATACATTTAGATTTACACCTTTCTCTTTATGTATATCTTGTTTTTAGGCGGTAAAGTTTGTCAGTAGATTTCATGATGAGAGGAAGAATAAGCTTAGGTAAGTAAAGTGTGGAAAATATGATGTTATCTTGTCGGGTATGAAAGGGATATTGGGACATGTAGATAACAAAATGCAATTGATAATTGAACCAAGTATACTTCAACCCATTCTATATTCAGCTTTTATCTCTTTATTATATATGCAGATAAAGTCACATGCCAAAGAAAGATGACAAAGTTAACATTTATTTGTATGAATACAATTTTACCATACATGTATTTTGTTTTGCATTAGTTAGAATTAGTTGTCTCTCTCATTGATTCATGCAGTGTTGGTATTGAGTCAAGTTATGATATTTGGTTTATTGATTTTTATTTGATGATTTAACAGTTTGATTCTGGATAGTGAGAGATGGAAACAGGCAGAGGTCCCAGCTGAACTTCAAGATCTACTCAGTGCATTCTCAGATGGTATGAATTGTTTTGATTTCTTTCTTTGATGATAGCGTAATATAATGTCCACATCCTTTACATATGTTTATGGTAGGTGTGCAATAACTTTCATCCAGGCCAAAACCCCAACCGAATGTGAAAAAGCTAGTCCACTTATGTATGGAGCATCAAGTGTCAACTTTCATCCCCTCAATATTACCAACATTTTGGTTACTAAATTAGTAAATAAAACCATTTCATATTGAAATTAAACCTGGTTCACCATGAAGATCAAAGAATAAAAGAAGAAAAAATTCCAAGATGGTGGTAGCTCATTATGTAAGCTCTCATGAGGACTTAACCACCACAAAAAATTTACCCTGGTTTATACACATTTGCCCGTCTGAAGAGAAGATTAATATCCTTGTATGTATTGCTAATCAATCTTCTCAGTCTGTGATTATCATATCCTTACTGTGGTTAAACCGTACCGGTAATTGAAATGACTTGACTCAAACTTTTGTACCAATTTCTTGACACAGGTACAATATCTCTGGATCTCTTAGCCAAGACAGATATGGGTAAGATTGCATCCTTCTTCTTCCATTTTAGAATATATATTTCTGATTTTTAGTAAATAATATTTTTATGATTCTCAGAAAAAATGTTTGGATCATGGAGTGATTATGTCTTGTTCATTATGAAAGTAGACCTTGATTAGCAAATGTAACAAAGTGTACTGGATGCAGAGATCTGATTAACTTGTGATGAACATTTACTATAAACCAAAAGAATATTTTCATTTTGAAATTGTGAGTTTATGCAAAATATTAAAGATGAAATTAGTTTAGAAATGTATTGATGTTTATTGATATCTCCTTCTTTCACACTACAAGAATCTAAGGAAGAATGTCTGTCAATATGATTACATTCTAAAGTCTAAACCCATTCACTCTGGTCTTTATTACAGGAAATGGAGGAGAAAGGAAACCTCTAGACTGTGTAGAAGTCAATGGAAGCAAATACGCTGTTGTTGGGTATGTACATTCATTTAGTCTTTATATTTTCAATTTATTAAATGATGCATGACAAATTTCCAAACACATTTTCAGTGTTCACATTAAGATACTTTTGTTTTACCAAGTATTAATTTTCAGTAATTTCAATCCATAATAGATCAAGAAAAAACATGATTATTTGTACTGCATGAGAAAATCAGGGAGAAAAGGTGGGTGAAAATATATTTAATGTTAAACCTTGTTCATTTCTTTAAATATTATTATTTGGAAGAAAATGCACTTTCTAAACATTAATATTAATATATATTTTTTTTTAACTTCAGGACCGTAATGTTACTCTTGAAGATGGTAGCTGAGTATTGTCAGTGTGTGAAAGACATGCCTACAGCTACCATGGATCTTCTAACAAGACTCATGGAACTCTTACAGGTAAAACTTCTATCTTAATCTGGACTAAAGCAACAGGGAATTTGTTTTCTATATCTGCAAAAAAGGCATGTACGGTAGTAGTAACAGTGAACATATTGTAATGGTATTTGTGAAGACAAATTTGTTGCCGTTCACATCATAGAATTGTGTTATGGCATTACCATGTATTAAACAAGTTTTTAAATGTGACAGAAGTTTGTATGGCACAGTGAATAAAAATATGATATGCCTTATTGCATGAATTGAATTACAGAAACTCCTTTGGTCTTTTTTCTTTCCTTCTCACTCACATATCTCACAAGTGAGTAAATGTCCCTTTTAATTTTAAGCCAAATCATATCAAATGTTAAGTGTTTTATTAATCTTTTTTTTATAAATGAAAGTACTAATGCATCATAATTGTTATTGATGTTTTTCTTCAGATGTTCAACTCCCGTTCTTGCCAACTCATCCTGGGTGCCGGGGCCCTTCAGCTTGTAGGACTCAAGACCATTACTACGAAAAATCTTGGTAAATACATGTACACTCATTATTTTACGAGTTGTTACATTTATATTTTCTTGTGCTGTAATTCAATTTTTTTTGTGCTTGTATTCTTTCATTATGAATAGTATTATTGTCTGTTTGTAGCCAGAAGAACATGTGGTAGATTTATGCTTCAGTGCATTTTGTTACTTTGCCGTGGCATTCACCGCAGTAAAATCTTTACATTTTCATAGTATATGCCTAAACATGTAATTTTACGTGCATACAAAAATTGTTGAACTAATCCCTAATTTGCATATAAGACAAACATAAGTATTCAGGTCCCTCAAGCTTTAGGGCTAACTACTCATCTCATTGCTTTGAGACTTTGTGTGTTAGTTCTATGGATGTATATAAACCAATGTAATGGAGCTTTTTTTTTTATCCCCTCTTTTTATTTTTCATGAATTTTTATACGACAAATTCCATGCAAGATTTTTTTTCTCTTGTCCTCTTACTGAGGTGTTTTATTTTACATATTTCACATTTCATATATATATATTTACATCAATTTACATTTTAACATAATAAAAAAAAGGCAAAAGTATTTAAATAAATAGTTATAACCTTAACATTTCTTGAAAAATTTCTTTGTATTTCGTCAAAAAAAAACTTTGTTTATTTGCTAGGTAATATTGTAGTTTTAATTTGAAATTAATGAACAGACTTTTACTATTGTACTCTTTTCCATCACACCGAAGTTTAATATACATTATGTCTATTATGTATTGTCCTAAGATTAACAAGAAGTTTATCACAAATTTTCCCCTTTTTTCAATAAAATAACCTATAAATTACGAAAAGCATTCGTTAAAACAGTAACCAATGTAAATCAGGTGAGGTATTACTACCCCACTTTCGTTTCTCTCTCTTAAACTTTGACAGAGCCACTTATACCCCACCACTATAACACAGGCACCATTGTAAATCTGGTGGGTTATCAGAAGTCCAATTTAAATTCTCTCGTTAAAACTTGGACAGAGCCTTGTAGCTCTGCATGAGAGATGGCAGCTGTACTCTTCATAATCTTAAGTAATAGTGTAAACAAACTCTTACTGGGGCTCTGCCTGAAAGGAAATGAGAAGTAGGAAATATATATTTTACTTGTTTTAAGATATTTTCATGCCCAAAAGTCACTTATAATTTAGATGAAGACCATAATGAAAGTTAGAACGAAGCAAAAAGACCCAGAATTGGCGATATAACAACAATTTTAATTGTGAAAATTAGCACCCTTTCTCCCTTCCTCTCTCCCTCTGTCATGCTTATCTCTATCATCCCATCAAGGTCTCGGCAAGGAGATTACATTGTATAGCGCTAGTGTTTACTTCAGGCTTAGCTCTAGGAGTGGTGAAAGTCAAATGGGGGTTTCAATTTTAAACGACAAGTTTTCGCCATGACTAATGCTTTTTCATTAATATTTATTTGTTCATGAAAGTAATTATAATATAAGTTTTCAATAATTTCCAAAAAAACTCTAACCTTGTTTCATTTTAACAAGACATGAAAAGTAGTTTCTGTTTCTTACCATATATCACACTGGTCATTTTCCATTATATGCCCTCTGCATAAATTATGTTTTGATGGAAATATATTATGCAATATTTTAAAATTAACTTGCTTTATCATATTATTTCCCATTTGTTGAAATTAATATAAAATTGAATACATTCTGCCATTTAAAAGAAACATGTAAGTTCAAGTAATATTCCCAGTAACGTGTAACATTTGGTTTTTGAAGATTTTGTTTCAGGAGGGATAAATAATAATGTTTCGTCTTGAAACTAGATATATCAACAAAATCTCCTGTAGCTACCTTAATTAAATTTGAATTAATTAATTAATTCAACATTCTTTAGAATGTATAATTTATTCAACCAATAGCATGGGAAACATTTCTTCAATTTTGCATATTCAAACTCATATAATAATTGATGAATACCAACTTTACTATTCAACATAATCAAGTCTTTCCAAATACCATTTGTAATCACATGCTTTACTTTAGAAATTCCAGCTACGTACCACTTTGAAAACAATAATGTAGAATTTTTTAATCTAATATGGCTGTTTTTACATGTTTTTTCTGTTACATCAACTAAACCTCGATATTTAAATTCTGACCATGCAACAAGAAGATTTTGATAAAAGTCTGACAGTCCTTTTTGTATACACATCATTTTCATATCTTTCTTATTCAAATTATATCGTAAAATATCTGGAAAAGTCCAATCCTGTCAATCCATGCAAGATAGCCTAATTATGTATTCATACGTCACCAATTAAAAAACAAAACAAGATTTCCTGTAACTGTTCCAATAGACTTGTAGCAGACATATCACTGATATATTACACACCAGATTTGAGCATTCTGCACCTTCCCTTCATTCTAAATATTGAATATGTTAAGTATTGGCTGAGATATGACCATCTGAATGAATATATTCCCTATAGGAACTCGGTGTTATATGCTCTGGCTCCTAATGGTTAGGAGCCAGAGCATATAACACTGAGTTCCTATTGGAAATATATTTGTTTAGATGGTCATATCTCAGCCAATACTTAACATATTCAATTGGTTTTTGGACATTTGGACATTATTTTTTATGCTCTTTCGGAAAATGAAGAAAAAAAAATTGAGAAATTCTAAAAATAGAACTTTGATGACGTCACACTTCACTACTCCCACTTCTCCCTTTATGATTCTCTAAACATACATCCTTATGACTCGCTTCCCAATCCCTATATTTATCACTACTCTTATCCCAACCCTTCCTATACTCACACTGTTTACATGATTTTGATAGAACCTCCGTGTCCAAAACCCCCCCTGTATCTACTGATATTACCACCCCACCCCATGATTCGATGTGTAACCTTGCCTATGCCATGTACCATAGTAGGACACAACCACGTCCACATAGTCATCATCTCTGATGGTCGAGTCCTTGTCCATGGTCCTTTGTCGTAGGCATGCTGCCACCTTCTTCTTGTTCTGCTTCTTCTTCCATTTTGAGTACATACCTCTTTACAGAGTATTATCGTACTATACTGGGGGGTGTGCAGGTGGATCACTACACCGGGGTTTCCCCCTACTCTTATACGAATAGTGCAGTGGGTTCTTAACGTGCAAAGGTAGTGACTCTTCTCTACACAGGCCTCCATTTAACGTCCTATTCAAGGGATGGAGTGTTTTCCACTTAACATAGCCTGAGTCTATGAACAAGGGAAGGGGCACGTTAACACACAACGCAGGCTTCAGTCATCCGCCTGGGTGGGAGTCGAACCCGGGATCTTTGGTTCGACAGGCCGACGCTTTACCGACTGAGCCAACTTGCCTCGTCCTCACTGGTCTGCAAAATAAAAAAAAACAAGAGTATGTAATAAATAAAAAGTAAATGTCAAGTCCCCTCAGGCCTCTCACCCATTAGACCCTATTACAAATGTTTAGATTTGATTAATTTTCATCCCTTGATTTGACAAGAAGGGATATTGATGTACATGTATTATAGTGTCTATCGACCACAACTAACAAATATTAATCTGTTTGGAGTAAATGTAGGTACAGTTAAGATAATTTAATGAAGAAAACACCAGGCTGGTGACTAACCTCTTGGGATAAGGAAGATAAAGTGGCTATGTGCCTGTTGTAGCTTTGACTGGTGGGGCTGTTCCGAGGATGGTCAGCAAGTCGCACAAGCTTTCCTGTGCCAAACCAACCTCTGTTGCTGCCAGAGTAGCTCTGCGGTTTATTTCTGCAGACTCTCCACGTCCTTCGCATGCATTTTCTGATGAAAAGAATGTCTCTTCCTTCTTGCAAATGGAGCAGCGTAGGACCATAGCGCAGTTCAACCCATCCTTCTTTGAGGTATTCTCCAGAGGAATGAGATGCCCTAAAAAATATATCCAATACAGTTTATGGAACAGGGAAATATTTTGAAAAGCACGATTACCAAATTATAACATAGTGCTGGTTATGACATAGTACATTACACAATTATTCACGGTATCAACAAGACTAAATTCACAAGATTTATTTAGCTTGTGTCTAGGTTTCATTTTTGTTCTGACTTGTCTCTACAATCTAGAGTCTACCGCAAAATTAATCAGGACATTCATATATTCCCAAACCCAACAATCAGGTAAGAACAATGACATCAAGCAAGGTGCAAATATCATATAGACCCCTATTGGCAAACTTGCACTTTCATCCATCCTTATTTTTTACATGTCTACTGCGATTCATCATCAATCTTTTAATTTGGCCTTATGAATATGAGCCATTCACCCCTTGAGCTTGCAATACAATCTCAAAGTTTCAGTTTGCAAACTATGAATTATCAAAGATATTGTTTGATAGCAAGTACATACCTCCCAGACACACGTGAGCCTTTTGCAAAGCAGTTGCAAGTTGTGGGCCACTAATGATGTAAAAGCCCTCTAGCTGACGCGGATCTTCACATGTGGGACCAGTATTCAGGGAAAGCTTCCTCTCTGAAGCTGTTATTTCTTCTGGCACCTCTCCAGCATTCATTTTCCTCTTCTGTAATACCTGGTATTGCACTCCTTTGAACACCTTCCTCTTCCTCACATATTTTGGAGTTTTGCGAGGCATTTTCAGTGAGTTGAGACTAGGGTTGACAATAGACACCAAGCAAGCAGAGTAGTAAAACTTTATTCCCATCTTGGCCACTAGATGGCAGCATAACACAAGCACAAAACTAGTCTAGGCAATCAGCCCTTGTTATCCACTTTCTGCTGATACATTATGAAGGGGTGACCGAAGTTGGCGCAGATTTTGACAATATTATAAAATGTGGTATTCGATCCATTATTTCTCATATTCTACACAATTTTATTTATTAAAATTATTACCAAATTGACGGCAAAGTTTTTAACTACAAATTGGTCAAACTAAAAAAAAATTATCGTCAAAGGATTCCGGATCGGCTTGCGCGTTGCACCTAAAAAGTCATGAAAACAACGAGACCTAAGTTCATGCACGGGGGTTTACAGCTGATTTATTAAAAATTACAATCCATCAAGAATAAGATATTATCGTAATTTGCAAGGCAAGATATCATACAATCAGTTGGTACCACTTTTTACTTACAATTTCGATGAAATCTGCTCTCAAATTGAAGATTTTCAGTTTTTTCGGTAAGTTGATAATTTTTCGGAAATGATGCAAAATTTGCAGATCTTTTGTCAATATTTTCACAATTTCGCACCCAATTCCAAAGAAAATTTTGTTTCTGCATTATTTTATGTTCCTCTTTCCATTGGTGAAATCAGATTTTCAAAATCTTACTGATTTTTTGAGATAGCGAACTTTGGTCATACTACCATATTTGTTATAGTTTGGTTTAGAATTTTATTTTTAATGATTTTTTTAGTAGATGAAGACTTATTGAGTGCGATTTTCTTATGAAGGAAGCATGCAAGGTCATTAATTACCATGGAATACTTGCCTTTGAACTTGAATTGAACAAACTTGTAGTGCTTTATTCAACATGAAAATTTAGATTATGGCATTTCAGACATTCCTTCTTTCAGTGAGCTAAAAAAAAAAAAAATTAATTGCCCAAATCACACCTAATAGGCCAGTTTCGTAATGTAACCAAATTGAATGCATACGTCTTTGTGAAGTGCCTCAATACAAATTATTTCATTCACCTGATAAGAATAATAGTCAGAATGCAATTGCATATATTAAGTGTTGCTAGGTAGGTCAAGCCATAATGTTTGTCCAACCTGGCAACAACTAATGTATGCAGTTCGGATTCTGTCTATTGAAATACTATTATTCTTATCAGGTGAATAAAATAATTTGTATTGAGGCACTTTACAAAGACTTACACACTGTATGCATTAAATTTGGTTACATTACGAAAGTAGCCTATTACGATATATGCCTCCTTTTTAAATCATATCAATTTCCATAGAGTTGATGCCTTTCTTGCTCCGAACAGACATGTTGATTCTTAACCAAAATGACAACCCTCTTTTAATACAAATGCATATACCTGAGAAAGAATTTGTATGATGCTTTTCTATTCTTCTTTGCACAATATGTGTGCTATGAATATTATCCAACATGTGTTTCCTTCTTTGTTCAATATGTCTGCTATGAATATTAATCAAACCTGTGTTTTGTTTCCTTGTTTGCACAGCTCTTACATCTCGATGTTTGCAGCTGGTGGCATTATACATTCCAATCGTCAAGGAATTCTTTACAGAACGGCTTTCAGTGAAGCAGCAGAACCTTCTCAAGAGCTTTGACAAAATACTCAAGGTATTATTTGCTTATTTGCACCTTTGAACCCTCTTGTGATGGATTCAAAAGGGGGTAAAGATTGAAATACAAGAGAAAGTCAGCGGTTTGAGATCAAGCTTTGAGTTTGTGCACTATTTAATTGGGCTAGGCTTATTAACGTGAAAACCAATGCAATGATTTCTGTGTTTTAGTTGACATGGATGCCAAATTTTAATCAGGACAATACACATTTTTGTTATAAGATATTAGAGTCAAATTCAGAAAATCTACAAAGATACTCATCCAAGAAAATTATGGTCAGCAAATGTTGAAGATGCATGTGTGATGGTTAAAATGACAGAAATTATTTATCATCTACACAGATATTAAAGGTAATACAAAGTTTTGGGAAATTTCTTTACAATGTTGATATATTTTGATACCCCTGTGTATGTATTATAAGCACTAGAAAATTTAGCCCCTTAAACACTTCTGCTTTCGAAAAAAATTGAATATAAAAATTTACCGGTGCTCCCAGTAAATTTTGATAAATTTCAAATAGCGCCTACAGCCGTACAATGGTAGCTGTCACCATGAAAATCTCAGAATATGTAGTTGTGATATATAATTTCCAAACGGGAATAGCTAATCGGTCGATTTTAGTCAAGAAACGTTGTTCTGTAGCTTAATTAATATCTTGACCTTGAGAGGGAGCTATACAAGATAAAAAGTTTATTATTTACAATTTCATAACTTTAGACTTGATTTCAACCCCGACAACGATCACTGAATATTGTAGGATCGCAGATGCTTCCAATATGTTCATTTGAACAAAATTCATGACCCCATACCAAAACTTTGTATTAAACCTTTAATAGACAGTCATTGTGCAGTGATGAATACATTAAGTAGTAGTAATTTACTGAAGTAATTTTTATCCTGTTTATTATCATCAGGATTACAATGACCATGTTCAGGAGATCTCGAGCAAGCTTGTAGCCATCATGGACGATTCCTTCAGATCATGTCTCTCACAGGTCAGTAGATAGTCAGAGCTCTTCTAATGATACAATGTAAAAGCATTAGTTTGGGTGCTGAAAGTTGCAAAAAATATTGGTGGCATTGTGGTTAGTCAAACTCCCTCATATATAATTGATCCCCTGCACACTTTGGAACTTGTATTAGATATCTAGTTTCATGTGTTTGCATTTTTGTTGGTATATGCTACTTGCAGAACTGAATTTGCGATAGAGTAAGATGCATAGCTCCTCCAAATATTTTATATCAATCTCTATTCTTTCAACTTTTTGTATCCATTTATGTAATTTTAACATATTTGACATTACTGTTTTATGATGAGATTATTTGCAATTAATAGTTCAAGTCATAATATTAATTTTGAAGAAGTATCATTATTAGTAGGTTATATTTGATGTTGCATGTTTGAAGCAATTTGATAAGATTTCTCTCACATCCAAATTATTTGTATTCTTCTTTATTATATAGTGGGAAGTGAAAGCTCCTGTACCCTCGTCGTGTTTCAGAGAGATCTGTAAACGGATCAGGAAGCTGTATGAAGCCATTGCTGATCTTCTACCATCAGAACAAGTCAAGGTAGGTAGCCATCAGTCAGGGAATAATTTTCCTGGTATCGCATCGCAATTTGCTATGCATTTTTGCATGACTGCTATACAAAATATTGTTTGTGTAGCAGTTTTCTTCCATAGAAATGTACAGAATTTCATTTGAAATATTTATCCATCAGCTGAAATTGCTAATCAAAATATTTGAGGAAAATTATTCCCTGTCATCTTGGTAGCCATCTGGGTGTGTAGGAGTGGGGTTATCCGGACAGGGAAAGAGAAAGAGAGACCAGCTAAAGTAAACATTGATAAACTGCTTCAATCCGAATTATTTATTAAACTAACTCGAAGTACAGGCTGAAGTGGTCAATTTACAATTAGGATATTACAATATATACAAATGGGTGTTTACAGTAATGTTATAAACATAGATTGTACGAAGGAAATAAAGTATAAAAAAAATGAAACATACATAAAATATACAACGCATCAGTGGACTAATGTCCCCTCCTTGTTGGAAGATGTTTTAGTATTAGTTCTGTGAAAGAGTTATACATGTAATACTTGATTAGTTATAGTGGTTTGTTACATAAAAAGTTTAGATTTACTGGAAATATAATGTTGTGCTATGTTTTATTTTTAATTGATAATTACGTACATGTAATAATTCTTCAGATTGTAGCAATACATATATATTTTTCTCTTTTTAAGATATAATAAGCAAGATTAGTTTCAAGATAAAACAGTTTGGGTAAATAACAGGTGAGGGAGGGGGGAATTGTTAGATTACAAATTTCCAATTATACAAGTACACATAGTAATGCAGACTGTAATCTCTGTGGTATTCGTTATTCAGATGAAGAAAGAGTTTAAAGGCATATAAATCTCTTCAAAGATCATTTGTTCTCATGGGTGTATCTGTAAAACACAAACATTTCGGAAGAGATTATTGACTCTTTTGTAATTCTTGATTTTCAAAGAAAATCTACAAGGACTTAGCTGCCTTGATTACCCACAGAATCAATTCTTTGAGAAAAAATAACCACAAGTAATGGGGTTGGCATTTCAAAGAGATTGATTAATTTGGTGGTGTTAGAAATGCACCAAGACATGCATTTCTAATGAAATTCAAGAACTTAACCAATGCTGCGGTTTATTTTTTTCCTTCATCCTTCAAGCCAAATTAGCCATTTCTGCAATTCAGTTGAAGTCATTATTGTAGTGTTGCGTTTGATGAAGTATGTTTCACTGTGACCTTTTCTGCAGGTGTTGTTCACTAGACTCAATGCATCATTCAAGACCAGACTCAAAGAGCAGCTTTTTCATCTCAATGTTCAGAATGATGGAGGGCCAAAGCAGGGGTGAATATACATGCATATGTTTAAAGACATTTCTTTATTACGTCAGTAGCGGAATGTAATAGTGGAAATCACAGGTTGTTTTGTTCTTCACTTTCTAAATAGAGGATATCACTTATTTATCTCATACTATCTTTTAATGATCTATTAACAGTTTGCAGCTTCATTAAACTGTATCTGATGTATATCCCATCATTTCTTCACTTCATTTTATAAAACATGTTTGAATGAAGACTTTCATGTTATGCATGTATTCGTCCTCAAAGAATGTGTACAATTTTGCCCTATGAAGTATGAAAGCTTTAAAAGACGAGTTCTGCTTTGCACATCCACTCTCCCTTTCACCATTTTCACCTTCCATTTGTTTTGTTTTTTCTAAATTTTTCTTTTCCTTCTCTTTCTTCCATGTTCAGGTTGGTGACCTCTGACCTTGTATTCTACACAGAGTTCATCCAATCATTGGATGGTCTTGGAGAGATAGTGGATAATATGAATGATATATGGTCGTGGAGGTAGCACTTCCAGTCATCACGGCCGCCTTGTAAACCATCTCCCATATCCTGGGCATTTCTTCTAAAGTAAACTATTGATATATGTTTCTGTAAGTGGACTGATCATAGCCATGTAACGGTCGTGGTGATTTAAAACCTGTATGTGTGACATGTAACAGTAAACAGTAGGAAAGAGCAATTCAGTTTGATGACCAATTGACCAGTATGTCTTGATTACCAAGTGCATGTTGTATTTTATGTAGATTTTGGCACCCGATGAAACAGCCTCTGACAAGTCCCTATTGGAAACCTATTAAAGGGATAGTTGAGTTCTGTTGCAAAAGAATTTTTGTGTGAGATAATGAAAAACTGAGTGTCAAATTTGAAAGAACATAATATTTAAATGACAAAATCATCTTTGTTTGATCAAAATCGGTTCAGAGACGGCTGAAATATAACGATTTCTAATACTTGTGTACCACCACAAATATTAGATATTTGAAAAATTTGAAAAAAACGTTGAAAGAAATGAATTAACGCCTTTTATGTCGGCGTATTTCAGCCAATGCCGATGTTCGTTTTTTTGTTGGCATTTTTGTGTTGCTTATGTTACGCACAACCAGCCGGCCCATGTATTGTTATTTTTAATTAAATAATTATTTAACGGTCACCGTGTTTTTTTTTAAGTGGAGCTGAATTGGTATGCTCTTATTGGCTAAATTTCACACATTTTGGAGTCTAAAATTACCTTCATAGCAATTTTAGGTTCTAAAAGGGCACTAGAAATGTCATAGATAAGAATAAGAGCAATAACCATGCACTTTGAAGGCATTTGCAGTCTGAAAACAGAACTCAACTATCCCTTTAACATTGAGCCTGTTTAATACGAGGCCATAGATATTTCCGGAATGAGTCTTTGGAAAGTATGTGTTACACCAAAATGAAATCATATTTAACAGATAAAGAAGAATTCCTGACGATTTTGAAAATGGGAACATTACTGAAATGATAGCAAGAATACCTTCAATCTTCTGCCAATAAGATGGAACAGTGATTGGTGTAGTGATTGTCCCCATGACGATAAAATGCAGATCCAAATTAGATGATGTTACAGGTACGTGACAAAGAGCTGTCATCCATGGATTTAATTTTCAGTTCACCTTCACAGCTTATTTATCTCCACTTAGGGTTAAGATCAATTACATATATGTAGATAGATAATATTTATATTGTATAGTATATAATCCACATTATAATGTGCAAATAAGGTAATATGTATATTGGATGTGATATGAAAAGAAAGTATTGAAGTACATCATATTTTGATGTTGTATGGGCATCTTGAAATATTGTACCACGATTAACAGAACTAGAAAAAGAATTTTATAGAAAAGTGTTATGTCATAGATCAGTCTACTGATAATTCAAATTCATGTATACTCTTACCAAGAATTCCCTTCTTGAACTATGTAATTAACGTGCTATACACAATATCATCATCAGCGAATGGAATTCGCCTTTCATAATTAATTGTTACTATGTTGGGCAAACCTTAATCAAACTTGCAGTTCATAAAAAGAGCAACTTTTGTCTTTAAAGAGTGCAAATTATATAGATACATTAGTAAACTGATCTATTTCATTCTTTTCTTTTCTAGGTACAATATTCATGTTTGATTTTGTAAAGGTCTGTGATTTAATGGAATATTTAGCAATAAGAATGACTTCTTTTATATTATTTTAGGTTTCTATTTTCCTGTGACTTTCGAGAGCTTTAGACCCGACGGTTAAAAGATAGTTTTTCCAATACACGTGATGCAATCCTTTTGATATGTTTTCTAGATGAGTAAAATTAATTAAATTAATTGTTCTGCTAAGAAAATCAAGGATCATTTCTAGGAGGTTTTATGTATTTTGCTTATGAATTTTCAGAAATTATAGCAAAATGCAGTGAATCTGTGTGAACACCAAGGCAAATAAAATATACTACCTATTGCTCATCAGTGCAAAAAGACACTTATCTGTGTTTTAGTACTTGATTATATTTAAGAATGCTACACATTTCAAAACAAACATGGCAGGAAGAACAAAACTCATTGCACAGTGTATATTGCAGTGTGGAATGCATTTGTTGACTAGATCATTTGTTTGTAGATGGGCAGTCTAACATTTAAATAAGAAGCAGTTGATCAAGTACAGAATATTATCTCTCAAATTGCTATATAATGCTGCATTTTTTAAATAAATATTTCTTTAAAATTAAGTGTAGGTGCATTTCATTATTTAAAATTAATTCAACGGGAAAAAGGAAAAAGTATATAATGTTGCCAATTTAAGGCGAAACCTTTGGTGGATTAAAGATTTTATCAAGCTGATGGTACAATTTTCCTTCATAATTGTAGAATGTGCCTATGTATCCTTACAACATTGGAACATGGGCCATAGTGACTGGTAGATTATCAAGCCTCCTCGCACTGGCTTCTATTCCATCACACACCTCTATATCCTTCATATTTTCCTGCTTTTATACGTACATCTAATTACTTTTCAAGATAGACATATATGAAGAGATTGAGTGAGAATGAAAGAGGGATGATTTTATAATGATGACCAATAGTGTAGCATGGAGACTTTATTTTTGATATATTTTGATATAGCGTACTGAACAATGCGAGGAGCTATAGAAGTAGCAAATTCAAAGAATGACTTGGAATGTCTAGTATGTTTCTTAAGGATGCTATTATATCTTTGCTTAAAAGAGATTTAGTACATCTACAATTTATTAAGATTTGATGTATCCATCAGAATTGTTTGCTCAGATGGTCTGGTAGGACTATCTACTGTCGAATGAGGGATGTTCCCGTAACCTTAAAAGGGGTCAACACATAGCATATTGATAGATATAGTTGTGACAAGTGCAAACGTGCGTATACAAGAGCTGCCATATGTCAAAACTATGGAGCCATGAATAGTGCTCTCCCTTGTGAGTTTGTCTAGCCTTCTGTTCTGTTCAACATGGCTTTAAAGGCAGTATACTCAATCAATATTCACATCATGGTAAACTGATAAATGTTTCCATCTTTTATTTCACATACATTCCTCCATTATAGTGAAGTAGAAAGTGGGAATACTTGTTATTTTGTAGGCTTCAAACATGAAATAACAATTTCAGGTAGTTGCCATTCCCATAAATGTCTAACTTATTATTGTGTTACTATTTACCTATGTTTGGGATGAATGCATCTTGCTTATTTTATAGCCAACTGCCCATTGCTTCAAATAATCCATATAATGGCATGCCAATATGTTGATTGTTGATTATTATTTTCATGAAAATTATATGGTAGGCATAAACAATTTGAATGTTTGGGATTTTCTTCTAACATCATTATTAGTTATACATTGTAATATGTGATGTTTATATTATGATCAAGAATAAATGAATTATGTGCAATCAATTAAATCAGATTTCCTTCACTCTAGGTACTATTGTGTGTTTCTTGTGTAAACCTTGCACAATATATGTATCCCTTTGAAAATCAATTCTATCTCTCTATACAGTTAGGGGAATCGTGCTAGAGAGACAGATGGAGAGAAAGAGAAAAAAAAGAGAGAAGGGGGGGGGGGGGGGAATAGATATTGCTAGTGTATAATTTTCTATTAATTATTCTTGTGTCCGTTGATGCAGGGTTAAAGGCAACCTATTTATCAATTTAATATACAGTTTCATATATATATATATATATATATATATATGCTAAACTATAATCAAACTGAGAAATTTGTCTGAATGTACGTGTAAAGTGATGATTAATACTAGTACGAATGGGCTTGGGAATGATTTATTGAGTTCCGTTGTATATATTGGGTTACATTAGTAGTCTGAAGGATCGAGGTCCCATTAAAAAAATTGGAAAGTTAAGTCAGCAACATTGTATAATAATAATAATACATTTATTATAATAATATCACATTTATAAAGCGCCCTTTCATTAGATACAAGCGCAGAATATTTATATTTCTTTTTTTTCTGCCATTTCCTCTTTGGTGGCTTCTATCAATGCAAATATATTCAAAGGAAAATAAATGAAAGACATATACAGGGGGAAATGCTGTTACTCGTTTGAGCTACACAGTAGTATTATGTTTCATAGATATATTACATATGTGAATGCGTAAGTGACACATGATATGAAACTGACATTACAATCATCTCTGCCTTAATTGGATATGCAGGGGCACTATAATAACATGAATCTAAATCAGTTTTGTGTTTGACCTGCTTGTATTTGTGATACAATTTTAGATACGTCAAATCGTATGTTTGGAGCCAAAAAGAGTGTTACGTCATATCATTTTACACAGAGTTAACGCCCTTCTGGCTTCAAACAGGCGATACATGAATGAGTTCATCGTATGTGGTATGATGTGGATAAGATCTATTAGTAGGTCCATGATAGTACAATCACAATAGTTTTCTGTCGGTCCGGAAATGCTTACTAACCTAACTTTATCAGATCACAATAGGGAAGTCTTAGTTCCGCTTAAAATGATTGTTCACTGATAATCTTCGGTTCATTTTATCGTCAAATTATCCAGCTTGCGATATATACAGAGCTTTTTACACTCTGTCAGGATACGTTGTTCATGAAGCAAGCCTATATTCCTGATGTACCTGATGTTGGCGCCTTTTATGAGTGCAAAATGCGCTATTATTAAGTCATGATTATGAGGCAAATACTACAACAAAATTCTCTAGTACACTAAACAGGCGTAGTGTGTAAATAAGGATGTTATTGATTTAATCTGTTTGTGTTGATTCAATTCATGCAAAATAGCATTCGCCTTTCATTACTGATATATTTGCCCGTAAACTTTCATAATTTAGTTGCTGATAGTTACGTAGGTTGTTGTCATGCATTCTATGATGCCAGACAACGGCCAACAGACTTTTCTTTAAACTGTATTTTTCATAGAGTTGTAAACGTTAATCATACCAGATATAAGCATCGTATGGCATTGAATGACCTTGCACACCATGTACCCCCTCATCCCTTTTCTAGCCCTTCTTATAAGATAAAAGAGCCCCCCCCCCCTCAATTTACGTCATCTTAGCTCTCAAAACCCCATCCAGTCTTACTCCATGTGTCCCCTTTCCCTTCCAACTTCCTCTCTGTCCTTTCTCCATGTGTTGGATCATATCATCAACAATCAGGAGTAGCAGGGGGAAATCATCGGGGGCATGTGGGTGATTATCAGGTTCTAGGGTGGCTCAAAGTTTCGATCCTTATCAGTGGGAGAAAAACTTCCTCTTGCTGCTTCCTGATGTGTGAAAACCTGAACTCTAAACACGCCATGCATGCAGTACGTTAACCATTACAACCCCTTGATCCAAACGCCCTCTTCTA